TCCACATACAAAAACAGTACGGCAGGTATGAAATTGACTTGAATGAATATAATGTCATTTTCTTCAGAGAGTTTTTGTTTATTTTGTTTTGTTTTTTAATAGAGCCCATTTTCAATATCAGTGTCCACGAGTTGGGCGTTATCTCCAGAATATTTCCACTTACCTTTGGTCATTTGCAAAACTACTATTTTACATATTAGCTAATATTAAATTCTAGGATCATACAATCTCATATAAAGTAGGAGAAATGTTTGCTTGTTTGCGGGGAAATGGAGGAAAAGGAATTATACCCTTTGACGAGTTTAACAAAGTGCGATGGCCACATATCTTAGATCATTTAGCTTCAATCATTGTAGAGATAGAATTTATAATACCTAACATCACAAGGTCATTTTTACTCTATATATTGTAACTGCATATATTAAAATGAGATAACATATAGATGTTTGTCATATTGTCACTTGGTTTATTCATGTAAAAATGAAGAAACAGCTAATATTGAGATTGTAAATTTCTGAATGTCTGTGAATTTCTTTTCAACATTTATATACCATCATCAATATAAGTTAAAATTCTAGCTATAAAGTATTTGAGATGGGGTGGGGTAAAATAATAGGTCATAACTCTGAAGGACATTGAATGTTTTGTAAGCAGTAGCAAAATGCTAAGTTAAAAATGTATATAAAGGCAGTTAATATTGCTATATACTATCATATGTATGATATATACACACACACATATATATAAATAATACTATATACTATGTATTATACTAAATATAATATATACCAAACCCAAGGATTCTTAACATCTCTGCAACACAGGCAGCTGACCTCATATTTAATATACTGGTGAGCATGGTGAATGACAATCAATGCTTCCAGTACTCAGTAAAGCCAATTTTCTTTCACGGTGGTCTACATTTTCACCAGGCCATGAAATTTCTTTTTCTAGGTCAATTTACTGCAAGACTCAATTTACTATGAGAGTCAATTTAGCATGGATTTTTAGATTTTTAGTCCTGGGTATCTATAATGAATGTATATTTCAAGTGTTTAGATATTTCACTTACATTTAATATTTTAAAAGAGAAATATAAATATTTATATTAATCATGTAAAGTCCTACTAAATTTATCCATAGTTGTAAAAAATTGACACAATAATTTTCCCATTCATCTTTCAAAAACTTTTGTCACAATTAAAACTGGTTTTAAAATTGTTATTTTCTTTTTCAGCTTTGAGGTATAATTGACAAATTTGTAATATATTTAAAGTGATGATTTAATATATGTATATATTGTGAAAAGATTTTCCCTATCTAGTTAATTATCACATCCATCACCTTAAAACTGTTGACAAAGTACTTTGCTCCTAGTCGAATAAAAAAGGCATAAACATCACATTCATGATAAGTACCAATTATTTCAAATTGTTGAAAAAAATCATAAAGTACAAACTAACTGTGGTCTCCTCTGTGAAATGTATCTTAAAAGAACTATAATATCTAGGATACTACTGCAGGAAGAATGAGGCTGTCATCCTATTTTGTGGACAGTACAAGCAAAGAGAACCATCATTCCCAAGGCAGGAAAAAAGTATGTGCTATCTTTATATAACTTGTAAAATGAGTATTAAGTGAATGACTTACATTTAAAACATTTATTTACCTTCATTTAAAAATTTACTTCAGGGCTTCCCTAGTGGCGCAGTGGTTGAGAGTCCACCTGCCGATGCAGGGGACATGGGCTCGTGCCCCCGTCTGGGAAGATCCCACATGCCTCGGAGCGGCTGGGCGCGTGGGCCATGGCCGCTGGGCCTGTGCGTCCGGAGTCTGTGCACCACAACGGGAGGGGACGCAGCGGTGAGAGGCCCGCGTACCGCAAAAAAAAAAAAAAAATTACTTTAAAATATGAAATATTGAACAATATTTTACCATGAAGAGAAGGAGAATACAAGGCTTAATGATAAAAAAAGTAAAGAAAATATTCCAAACAGGTTTAATATTTTAGACTCTTGCATATAGGGATTCATGGATAGATACCATCTTTTGGCAATTTATAAAATTAATTCATTGCCTGATGGTTCATAAGAGGTCAGTTACTTTGTACATTTACTGAGACACTGATAATATATGTAGACAATGATAGCCTTAAAACTCTGAAATGAAGATATTTAAAGATATTTAATTGCATTCTAAGAAATGTTTCAAGTTTAGAAATGAATTTATTCATACAATGACAATTCTAGAACATATTGACTCGTCTCATTTTAAAACATTGAAAGATCTTACAACCATTGGGCATTTGATATTTTTTAAGTTAATTGATTAATAGCATCTAAGAATAAACTATTTACAAAGTAGAGCATTATCTATTATTTGTACTTGAAGATAACATTATTTATCCAAATGGCCAGAGCTAATGTTTTGAGTGTTTTTCCCCCCCAGGACTGAAATAAATGCAAACTCACTTCCAGTCCCCTGGGCGTGTGGGCTAAAGAGAGCTCTTAATCACATTAAAGTTTATGATTCTCATCACAATCAAACTTGCAGCCATTCTTAAACTATCTAATTAAATTACTCAATTTGTTCTATGGTTTACAAGAAGAGTAACTTTTGTGTTATGATGGCAGGGAGACTCCTGGGGTTCCTGAAAATAACAATTTAACAAAAATCCTCAGGGCTTTTTAGTCTCCTCCATTTCATAGAACACCCACGAAATTCTCCCTGAGGTTGAGAGTGCAGTAAAGCACTGTTAAAAACTAGAACTTCTCAATCTTGGTGTACATATAAATCACCCTGGAATCTTTAATCTTACTCTGTAGGTATGGGGTAGGGCCTGAGATTCTGCAGTTCTAACAAGTTCCCAGGTGATGGTGGTGATGCTGGTCTGAGATCACATACAGCATTGCAAACCTATAGACTATTTCAGTATAGAAATCCTAACTGCTCTGGTAGTTATCAACAAGAACAAAAACACAATTTACTTCTGAGTATTGATCACAAATGTTGAGCTACTCATGTTCAAATGTTCAGTTGGGGCATTTTCTTGAACATAACAATCTTAGAGTAATAATTTTTTTTTTTTTTTTTTTTAGCTCAGTGAGACTTTAGAAGTCATCAAATACAGCTTCCTCATACTATAGTTGAGGAAATTGAGGGTCAGGGAAGTTAAGTATATGCCCAAGGTCATACAGCTGGCACTAGAACCCAGGAACCCTAACTACTGTGTCGATAAAGAAACCCTAACTTCTTTGGCATTTCCATTTTTATTTATACTCCCTGACACAAAACCTAAGCATGAGTCAATAATGATTAGAATTTCACCTTCTGATGCTCACAATAGTTTAAATGATAGCAGTATCCTTGGACTTAGATTCCTAACAGCTAAAACTCACAGTAGGCAACTATCTGCTACAATAACAAGAGTATTCACATATCCTCTTTCTTGCAGTTTTGTTATGGACATGTGGCTTCTTAATTTTGAGAACCTGGGGAGAAAGGTGGAGAGAGAAATGAATGGGTCATTAGTTAAAAGGCAGGGGTTGAAGTTGTTAAAGGTTGTGGCAAAGTAAGCAACAAATGAGAAAGAGCTAAGGGCCTCAGTATTGATCCTGCCTCTCATCTTTCCCTCTGTCTCCTTGCTTGCAGGTTTCTATTGTGTAGTCGCTCAAACAAAATGGACTTTATTTATGGTGTGACTGATTTAACACTACCGAACTAGTCCATCGTCTGCTAATTTGGTCCAATTAAAAACTGGTCATAGGGAAAAGCCTGGGAATTAAGCTCGTTTGGAAACACAACTTCTGATTATTTTATGTCCTGTTCATTTATATCTCCTCTTCTAAAGGGCACATTCAGGGTGCTGATTTATAGGGATGGTTCTTTCCAGATTCCTGAATTTCTTTCCATGATCATCTTTGGTTAAGCCCTTGAAGAAAGCAGTTATGCTTTTTCTCCCTTCCTTATGGTTGCTGTTAAGACATTTATGGAGGATTGCCCAAGATTTCTTGCTATACCGAATTAGAAGAATCCCACTAAACAGCTTAAAGCCGCCATTTATAAAGCATTTACACATTGCTTGGCCCTGTACTAACAGGTTTGCATTCTCACTTAATCCTTACAACTCCAAGAGTTAAGTACTATTATTATCCCTATTTTGCAGTTGAGGAGGCTTCAGATTTAAACGTTCAAGTAAAATCATCAAACACTGTGAAGCAAAAAGTGACAGCTATGGGATTTGAACCTGGATCTACCTGATCTCAGTACTGACCGATGTGATACTGTCACCTGCTAAGCTCTACTGAAATTTACGTCTAGATTAAGTCAAATTCTCAAGAACAGCAACAACAAATTAATTTCCTCCACCCCTAACTCTTCCTCCGTCACACAAGTTCTTGTAGGCAGGTAGGTGTTCCCTATACTTAGCCTCTCCCACGCCCTCGGCAATCTTTCCCTTTTGCTTCTGGGAGCTTCAGAGAATGCTACTGCAGCTGGTGAGTGGGCAGGTGCAGCCACCATCTGCTCTAGGAGTCCAAATGCGCACAAGAACTTAGCACCCAGACCTGGCCCAGCCACCACGGGTTCCAGAACCTGCTGGGGACACGGCTAACCCCGCCCCCTCGCGGTGGCGATTGGCTAAACCCTTCCCGAAGGCTAGGCACTGATTAATGGAGGTGCTGTCTCCTCAGAAAGTTAGGGCGAGACTCTCTAAGGAGGTGAGAACAGCCGGGGGTGTGTGAATGGGGGATTCAGTTCTTCCTGCCCGAAGGGTCCTTGAGAAGCCTGTTTGTTTTTCCCGGCGCCTGTCTCCACCCATCCCTTTCTCTCATTGGCCAGGCCTGGTGGGCGGGTGTGTTTCCATTGGCCGGGGGGCGGTGTCTGTCCCTGGCCAGGGTAGGGGCGGGGCCTCCACCGCGGTGAGCTTGCCCTTGTGTCTGGTGCTCTGTAGAGCTGCCGCCGCCGCTGCCGCCGCCGCCGCCGCCGCCGCCGCCGCCGCCGCCGCTGCCACTGCTGCTGCTGCTGCAGCCGAAGCATCCGGGAGCCGCCGCCGCCGCCGCTGCCGCCGCTACCGCCTCTAGCGCCGCTTCCACCTCTAGCACCGCTTCCACCTCCACTCCCAGGACCCCGAGACACCCCTAGCGCGAGCGGCGGCTGCTGCTTGCTTGCTCCCCCTCTTCCCCGCCTCTCCCTTCCGTGACCTACCCACTCCTTGCAACCCTCGTCCGCCCCTTCTCCGACACCCCGGCATCCCTGCACCACCTGCTCGGACAGCCCCGGCGGGTGCTGGGACTTGCTGCGCGCGCGGAGAGGAAGGCAAGCTCCGAACCCGTGCCTGGCAGACGGACTGTCGCGGCTGCACCACCATCAGGAGGAGGAGGAGAAGAAACTATTTTGCCCACCGAAACCCCATTCTGCGGGTGCTTCGCCGTTGCCGCTTCTGCTGCTGCTGATCAGCGTCCGCGGGTTCGAACACCGCAGCGGCGAGGACCCTGGGTCCAGAGGGCTCCGCGAGGAAGACACCGGCGGAGCCCCGCACTCTGGTGCTCCGCTCACCAGCATCTCTTTGCCCCCTCGTTCCATTCCAAACCCTCCACAGAAGGGACCATGATTTGGAAACGCAGCGCCGTTCTCCGCTTTTACAGTGTCTGCGGGCTCCTGCTACAAGGTAATCCCCGCCCCGCCGCGGGGAGCATCAACTTCATGCCCGTTCCCCATCATCCTCACTCCACCCCATATTTCCACTCTCCCCCTTACAGTCAGTCCCCCAGTCCCTGGCGATTTCCACCCCCTCGCCCTACACCCCGGTGCGGCAGGGGCCAGTGGCAGTTTGCTCCAGCCCCTCGAATCTCTAGCGCTGTCTCAACCCTGCTCTCTCGGCAGTCAGCCCCTTACGGGCACCTTTCGCCTTTTCATTCACCTGAGCTTCCTACATCTCTCACTCTCCATCATTGCCAGCACCAACCCCCCCCCCCCCCCCACACACACCCCCCCACCCCTTTGCTGGCAACTTGTGCCTTCTCTGAACATTCCACCCTCCCACCAACCCCCACCAGCCACCTCCCTCATCACGCTCCTGACCGACCCTCTCCATCTCTTGTCACCTCTTTAACCTCCCCCTTTTCGGGTCGTCTTTCCCTTTCCCCTTCCTCCCACCATCATCATATCCGTGTGCCTTTAAAAAGTGTGTGAGAGCCTGGGAGCGAGCTACCGAGACAGCGAGAACAGCAGCAGCGGCAGCACTGTGTGCATTGCAATAACATCCCCGGTGAAGGGGGCGGGGGGGAATGTGTTGTGAGACATGTCATTCACCTAGGAAGAGAGAGGAGACTGTCTGAGGTTAAAAGAGAGAGAGAGAAGGAAGAACGAAAAGAAAAAGAAAAAAAAAGGAGTAAACGGAAAAAGAAAGAATGCATAAATAAACCAAGAAATAAAAAGAGAGGGCCGGGGAAGGGAAGAATTAAAAGACCAAAAGCCACTTTATAAACAAACTGACTTTTTATTATTCAGTCTGTGTGGTTTTCTTTTTCTTTTTTTCTTAAGACAAGAAACATATGCACCCTAGCAGTTACTTTACTGCTAAGGGATTTTCGCTTGATTCCCTACCTCTCCATCCGCTATCTGCCGCTTCTTTTCCGTAATTAATATTATCCTTTCACGTGAAATGTAGGAACCCCTGTGACCGCAGCAGAGGGAAACCGCACAAAACACTGTTATTATGCAAATCACTGGTTTTGGATGCAGACTGGCTAGGGAACTGGGGTACACTTTTCCTCAGACCCTCTCTTTTGAAGGAGGGAGGAGGGGGCTGTGTGGAATGGGAGGACGATGCTGATTATGAAATAAATGGAGTAGGAGTGCATAGGAAGAGCACCCTTTGGGTGGTAGTGGAGGCAGAGGCGGCATGCTAGGGCTGAGTGGGCAGGGGCTGTAAGGCGGAAGATTGTTGCTTTGAAGAGAGTGGTGTAGGGATGTGGCTTGAGTGTGAGATACAGGGAGGATGGATGTGAAATTATGGTCCATATGATATTTTTTAAGCTACGTGACTCTTGATTTCTTGATAAACCTTTGCCCACCTCTATCCCCTCTGTCATCATTTGTGTATTTGTAGCAAAGATAAGTTGATCAAATTTATTCGTCCCTGGGTAAAAGGAATCTGAAAGTAAGACACATAGAACCACAGGCGTGCAAAACCCAATCGGCCTTTGGAGGATTTAAATGAGGTCAATGAACCATCTTTCAGCAAGTTCTTGGAATGCATCCTCTCTCCTAGCCTCCTCCGGTAGACCGGGACCATATATTTTTTAATGCATATTTATGAATGTGAAAGAAGAGATAGTGGACAGAATTTTCCTGAATTAACTAACTGAACTTGCAGAGATATGTGTTAGAATATTTTGTGGTAACTTTGTTTATTTTATGTTTGATGTAAATTTTAGATATATCATGTGCCAGAATCCCTGAGAAGGCAGACAGCCTGTTCTTCTTGCTTATGCCGCCTGGTCCCATTTCCCACCGCTTATACCGCCACCCTCACACAAGTAATCCGGTGGCTGACACATTACTTAGATTTCTAATCCGTCCTGAAACATCCTCCTAGAGACCCCACTTCACCTCTCAGTAACTTGCATTTCTCAGCTCTGCTGTGTGTGTATGTGTCTGTGTGTGTGTCCGCACACGCCACGCCGAGTAAGGGGAGTGTGATGTGGGGAAATCAGTTAATTTGGTGATTGCGATGAAAATTCGACACCACTGGATGTGTTTTCCCTGCCATTCTGTGTATGCTGGCCCCGACACGTCACTGCACACACTACTGGGCTGGTGTGAGAAGATTATTTATTATAGAGCATGTGGGCAATGGACTGCACTTGGGGGTCACGTCCTCTCTGCCTTCAACATTTCCCTGTGAATTGTCTATTCAGTGCACTGCAAAATAACTGTCTGCTGGTGCCTCTTTCTCTCTGTCTCTCTCTCTCAGCCTGAAGGAGGATTTACTCTTTCTCTACCCTGAGAGATTCCATCAGCTGCATTCTTTTTTAGTAAGGGCATGGGCCTCTTTTATTAAGTATGTAAACCAAGTATTGAAACAGTGCTGCCTTTCACAGCAGACTGGGGGAGAGGGGTGGAAAGTATACCAGAGAAAATGTACCACTGCAACCAGCAGCAGGTCTAAATAAATAAATAAATAAGTGTCCTATACAGCAACCAGGGAAAGAGCACCAGCTCAAGGATGTATGTGTACTTCTGAGCATCTTAGATCAGGGCATATTAATACACCAAAAGAGAGAAGAAGATTTAAAGAAAAAAAAAAAAAAACTAGAAGCGGGAGGAGGCACAAAGCCCCGTTGGACTGTCTTCTCATGTTTATGGCTGCCTCACATTTATCAAACACTGCTCCACAGACACATCACACTTTGTTGATATTGTCAGTTCCTGCTCAAACAAATTGCTCATGCCTTCCTGTCTTGGTCTTGGCTGAAAACATTGCTTCAGGGTCCAGGTTTATGTTTCTCCCACTACTCTACTGTTTTATTAGGGCTTGGTTAGATTGTAAAATGAAAGCTTTATTTCCTGGACACAGATTAAATACTTAGCAGGTCTTTCCTTTCTATGCACAGGGAAGGATGGGTGGTGGGGGAACTAGCGAGCAACTGATTTTGGCCAGAGGTAGTCTGCTCTGCCTGTTAGTAGTTATGACTAGGCAAATACTATACACAGTCTGCAGCTTCTTATTATTAGCGTTATCAACACTATAGTGGTATATTCACTTAAGACATACTAATCAATTTATTTATCCTTTGTATTATTATCCCATTTCTTGTGGTATGCATTATTTTAGACAAGAAGACTCATTTGAACACAACTTCCCTGTGGTTTCACTGTGTTTTACCTTGTCAACAATTTTTTACTTTTCCTGGGAAGCAACCTCAATCTTTTGGCTTGTTAATATGTAGAGTGATAAGCCAGTGGTGAGATTCAAGATAATGATGAAATGAGTTTTTAAAAAAAGGCTTAAATAGTTCTATTCTGCAACATCTACTACTTCATCCTCAATGGGTCTTTAGGAAATGCATAGTTAGATAGAAAATAAACGTTTCTGACCAAAGTATAACTTGGAATGTAGACTACTTAGGTAATAAAATTTGATTCAGTATTAAGCTATACAGCACCCTTTTTTATTTTCTTCCATCATAGAGGGAGAACCTGGGGCAAGGGCAGGGGACACATTAAAGAAATGAATTTCTGTAGAATGAGGAGTGTAAAAGCTTACCACCTGCAACTAAGACCTCTTCTTGGCTACAGAGTAGATCCAGTTCAATTGCTGACCCTCCCTGAAGCTGTATCCTTTTCCATGCCTGAGGAGACACTGCAAAGATGGAGACTGTCTTGGTTAGCACAGCAAACAATTCTAGAAAGGGCAAAAAGGAAGGAAGGGCAAATGTAACCACAAAATAGAGACGCATAGATTCTAATTTTGTTGAGAACTTTATTTCCTTTTTAGAGTTAGCTTTACACAAAAACATACCCAACATTAATATTGGGGCTTTAGGGGTTTTGTGTGTGTGTGTGTGTGTGTGTGTGTGTGTGTGTGTGTTGCTATGGGACGTTCTAGTAAATAATTTGTTATACTTAGAAAGATCTTCAAGTTAAAGGTCTGTTGAACATACATATTACTTGCCTCAGTGTGTGTCATGCACCTCCCCTTACATTTTTAGAAAACACATTGTAATGCAAAATACATTTATATATATTTAATAAAATATTGACAACTTAGTACTTCCTAAAAATAAGTCTCTCCCACTCTTTTCCCTCTACATGTAGTAACCTTAGCCATGTTGAGCTCATTTCTTATGCTGAATGCAGTTTCTAAGATACAGCTCACTCCTTCCTTTTTTTGATTAACAGCTGAAACTTTGAAAAGTAGACTTTATACACAAGAGTCAATGACTATGACTTAAACAGCAAACACCAGACAGTAATTACGATAATCTCCCTGCAAATATGAGGAGTTCCTAGACTAATTTAGTATCAAGATATGGAAGCTTACTTCATTGTCTTTTCCCCTATTTCTACAGCTAGTAGAATTCTGGGAACATAATATGACAAAGGTAAGCATCAACTGAGATGGCCTCTTCCTCCCTTTTCCACCAGAAGATCAAATATGTGAAAAATATTTGCCCCACATTTAAATAGTGAGATAGTCATTTTTCTTAAAGAAAAACTTACTTAAATCACTTAAACAGCAAATGGATGTGCAAAAATGTTGGAAGACATCCTAAGCATGCATTTTAAAGTGGCCTGAAATCAACAACAAGTGATAATCAATTTTCTTTTTAAAATAGAGGGTCTATGGGGTAAAAAATGGTTGAGACAAGTAAAATTTGTCTATTATGAAGTATTTGGGGGTACATTAATAATATAACATAGGTGTTTCATATTATTGTTTTATTTGATCATGCTGACATGCATTCTATGAGATTTATTGATAGAGACTCCTTGTTTTAATAGACTTTATTAAACTTCCTTGGCAAAATCCCCCATTGTGTGGCAGCTAGCTGAGTAGGTTGAGGAGGCAGTGAGAAGGGAAATTACAAATCAAGGAAGTGGAAATCACAAACTGAAGTCAGAAGTCCCTTGTGGAATTGTCAGATACAGGTTTGTTTACCC